GTTTTTTGGGGGGGGGTGGTTATTTAAATTTGAAAATGTTGTGCTCACTACAATAGAACAGAACTTTCGGTTTTACTATTAAAGAATGTTAAAACATTAAAAGTTTATTGCCATCTCTCCTAACCCCACATATTTTCCATAACTTATTTCCTTACCTCAGCATTAGATACCATGCTTCAGAACCAAACAAAACACTGGGAAAAATAAGTTTATGAAAACAGAACAGAAGTAATGTTTTCACATCTCCCTTTGGTCATAATAACTAACTTACAGAAGTAAGAGTCCTTCTCCATTTTTTTAATGTTGTGTGCCCCATCCTTTAGTGGGGAGCGTGGCCGCAGTGACATCCATTTCCAACCAGGTTTGCCAGTCTTCGATAAGAACCACAGTACCTGCTCTTCGGGTGTTTTGAAATTGTGCTCAGACATCGAGTTGTATTCACAGTAAACCCTGCAGCAGCAAATATGGCTATTTTCAGTTAAAAGCAAACAATAATGCAATTCTGAATGTCACTCTGACATCACAGTTAACATTTTACTAAATCTTATGATTATATGCAAGCTTAAGCACCTTACAAGCTAATTCATATTCATCAAATACAAAGGCACAAGCATATTTTGTGTGACAGTAAGATTTTCATGATACGATGTGGATCGAATTTGATTGTGTTTGTTGAACTTGTAAAAATATGGAAAACAGAACTCACTTCACATGGCATGGTAGTTTGCAACAACATTATGAACCTGACTGTTTAAACATCCAACACATGAAGATGATTATGAGAACTATTTAATGTTCCATTAATTAACAACTTACCAATCTGGGTGAACTTTCCAGTTAGAGCCTTTGAAATACTCAGTAACTGGAACACATAAGAACAAAAGCTAAAGAAATGTAACTTGTAGAAAACATGTAAATTTAAAACATTATTCAGAAAATCAGTAGTGACATCATGAGTTAAGAGAAGAAAACAGTGGTTTTATATGGACAGACAATTATCACTTACATACTAACTTCAATATAAGTCAAGAAACAATGTTCTATGACAATTTTTCACATCAACATTACATACCTACTCTTATGAAATCAACATCTCAGATTTATTTCATAATTGTATTATAAATAAATCCACAAGATAAATTATTTTAATTGTTTTATACTTAATGTAAATGTATTTATGTGAATTCAAGTAACTATGGAAACGTAATAAAAAAATAATTTCTTTGTTTGTTCTTCATACACATCTCTTCCATCTTACTTATAAACATGTATCCAGATATCTCCTTTAGCATCACATTTCTTCTGTCCTTTCTCAGAGAACACTGCTCACACTAAAATTATATTCTAGGGACAGGAAAACTAAACCTTCTTTGGTCATCCACAGCTGACACTCTTTATGTTTTTTGCAGCATGTCTTATCCTTCCACATTCATGATACAACTGTTTATATCTCATTTCTTAGAGGTTAGAATTCAAATTCATGTAAGACATGATTAAAGTTACCTGTGTCTCTACTGCACACTATCCAATACAGTTAGATCAATACAACAAATTTGGCTACACACTTCAATACTTTATGAGCAAAATTATTTCTATTTGTTGATAAAATCTTTAAAACCATGACCTGTTGAACATTAAAAACATATAATACTGCTGATATAAAAAAAAACAATGTTGCTTGTACAGTGGGATGTTGCAGGCCACTTATATTAAGTACAGATCACAGGTTAAGTGCACAGTTAGAACACAATCATATTCTGAAACAGGCTTCTCTGTTAATCTGAGGAAGTGGGTCTAGTCTCCGGTGAATAACAGCAATACATAACTCATCTGTGCAATTTATTGTACAGATATATTCCTTTTGCATAAATTGAAACTCCTGATTGAATAGAGGCAAAACTATGATAATTTAACATTTGATTGCTATTTCATACATGTCTATAACATGTCTGGTTACAAAATGGTATCATTTTGACTTTATGAATTCACTGTACACATATAGATAGAATTTTGCCATTCTACACCTGTAGCGTCGTTTCTCTGTTGTATCTTTTATTTTCTGTGTAGAACTGCACAGATTTCTGAACATCATGCAACTTAATATTAAGTCATATGGTACCATGCAAACTTCCCTACATATATCCAAGTCCAGAAACAGAATTCAAGCAACTGACAATACAGCACTGAATGATTATTAGGGTTGCCAACTTTGTTAAAGAGGATACTGAGAGGTTTTTACAATGGTATTAGCATCATAATAGTTTCTGTATGGGTATGCCAAAACACAATATGACACTGATCACAGCAGACATGTTCAATTAAACCAGACAGTGACTGCAATAGATAAAAGAACAATTTGCAACTTGTATATCACTTACCAGGAATAGTGTCGCTGGCTGAAATCAAATTAATTGTTTCTGCAATAACACATTTTCAGTTTTATTATCTGGAAATGTTTATCACAAAATATGAGACAAAAGCAATAACACCCCTTTAATGGATTATAATTGTCAGTTCTGACAGATTTATGTCCAAACCAGGAGGGTTGGCAACCCTAGTGTTGTTCATCAGAATTTAATTATGATGGCACATACCCCTCCTAGGTGGAGAATAATGTATCTTGTAAAATAATATCACATTTGACATATGTTGTAATTGCTGTCTATATCGAGGCAGGTATCAGCTTCTATCCCACCACTGGGAGAGAAAATAAACCTTCAGTCTTCTCCTTCCTTCTATTTATGTTAAGTTACGACTGCTGAGGATTTATTGCATTAACTGATATAATGTTATAGTACCATATATCTTAACACTGTACAGCAGTACACAAATTCCTGTAATGTGATACAATAACAATTCTTCAAAAATATACTCATACTTGACTGATGAGAAGTAAGTAATAGTAGGATTTAAGGTACTCTTGGTGATGAATATGAAGATGGCCATCTTCTGGGTTGTAGTGCCATGTATTCTGGTAGAAGTTTACCAGCACTTCAGAGGTCCTTGCTGTGATTGCCCTGATGATGGAGGCAGCAAGGACTTCTGAAGCAATGGCATACAGTGCTACAACCCAGAAGACAGTAACAGTACTTTTAGAACAGTTACTAGCCACTGAAATATGAGCTGCCATTTAAAACTTCCAAATAACTATTTTCTGAGAATATGAAACTGGTAATGATATTAGTTTACACCAAATTAATTAACATTATCAAGGAAGAATTGGAGGCCAATGGCTTAAAAAAATTAGTAATAAAGAGTTGAACATGAGCTTCTCGCGTCTATCAATTGAAGTTCCGAGAGACTGGTAATGCTACATACCATTCGTGTGGCTGTGTTTTATTTCCCTCTCCCCCAGTACTTCATACATGCCATAGCCCTCAGGTATAGCAAGACCCAGAGAGAATGGTGTTCCTTCTATTGCATTGTAGAAGTACTTGTGTCTTCGAGTCGTCACTCTTTTCTGTAAGAAAATAAAAAATTAAAATACAGAAAATATTACCATATCTATAATTCAAGAGAAAATTTCCACAGATTCTTATTCTTCCATATAATTAGGATAGGTGAGACAGATGCAAGTGGGATCAAAGAGATTTAGATTTGATCATAGCCAACAAGAATTTCTGAGAGAAACTTGAAACATCCACTTTTCTTTGATAAGTCATGCAATGGCAACACTCACCATATCATCATAGTGAGTTTTCACACTGAGTTCAGTTTCTCCCTCCTTTTGATCTATCATATCATGTCGTAGCTGTAAAACAAAAGAAACACCTTATTAAAATCAGAACAGAACTTCTGGGATGGCTCTGTCACTACGGCGACTAGGTCATGGGCTAGATAACCAGGGTTCAATTCCAAGCAGGGCAGGATTTCCCTTCACAACATCCAGATCATCTCTGTAACTGATACTGCATCCCTATCCAAAGCCCTCTCCTCATGGGTAACATGGCTGGTGCGTAAAAATAAATACTCACTTCCATCTACTGCCAAGGTTAAGAATGCATGGATCCATGCCTCCACTTCCCCAGCTTCTTATGTTGGAACCCACATATTCCTTTCAATTGACCCTTAGTAGCATGCAAAGTGCAAAACAATTCTATTCTAAGGCAAAAGAGCAATTGGTGATAAAATTTAAGTCACACCTACATCTAGCAGGAGGGAGTTGTTCTCTCTCGGACCTCCATCCATGTCCACCAGTTCCACCTCTGTCAGATCCACACTGTTATAGTTAGGCTTGAGTGTCTCCTGGAACTACATACCAAAACATTCATCATCAGCAGAGCTAAGATACGGTTAATCCCAACAAAATCAGCTGCGTTTGTCTGTACTGTCACAATTATTTTACGTACAGTATATCTTTCGTATCATCTACAATTTTAATTAATTAATTTTGATGTCATACTATTCCACTGATATGCAAAATGTTTAAAAAATATTGTCATCTGCAAAGTGTTTTATATAGTAAAATTGCAAATACCAAAATATTAAAATAATCTGCAACACTTCAGACTTTTATTTTATAACCTAATTCTGTTTCCACTTACTTGACCATTCCAGTTTCTTATCTGCTCCAGCATGAAATCAAAAGAAGAGACATAATCAGATAAATGAAAGTTTGAGAGGTTGCTTACAGACTTTCCGGCAGAAGAAGCCACGAGTAACTTTAAAATACATAACCCTAAAATGAACAATACCACATTCAATATCAAGAAACATAAAAATAAGACTTACCAGTGGACGGAGGTCCGGGTGATAAAGAATGTGGCCATTGTTGTTTATAATAAATGAATAACCATTCACCCCAAGCTGAAAACAAACAGATTAAAAAGAATAAAACTGTGTGCCTCCATGGAGAGTGCAATGCAAAACATCGCAGAAGACAGTCATCTTCAAACTTGATGCCATGTGAACCTGAAATTTCACCAACACTTACCTTGTATGGTTGGACCAATTTCTGGATCTGCTGTATAGGAACATCGGTACCAACCACACCAAGCAGGTTGGCAACTCTGACCTGCAAACAAGAAATGGATTTTAATTTGAATCCACTGCTGAGGATAGTCACACTGTTAACTGTTACACATAAAATACTAAATATCCACTAGACTGTGCTCTGCAGAACTAACTCATGAATCTGAGGGTTTCTATGGGCGCGTGTATTTAATGGGGACTTATAACACAAAGTTATGATGACAGTTTCCAACTTGTCATTTGTCACAAAAGCACATTATCGCATGCCCACATTTTTCTCACATTACAACCACAATTGCTATTTATAGAACAAAGTGTCTCAAAACTGGAAGATGCAATAGGTAGGCGTGCATACTTACAGAGTAATTTCTTCGATCGAAGACTGGTGTTGAAACCGAGGTCATCAACTGACCGTTCAGGTTTGCAGCACCATTACTCTGAAGGTTGTTGCCCTGAAATTAAAAGTGCAAATGTAAAGACATTTCAGAAACTTTTTCATGTATATTTTTCTTGTAGTTACGTGTGCTGTACGTAGACACTAGAAGTACACTCATGTCTTTCAGAGCCATCTACTATAATCTCAGTGAACTAACTTTCAGTGAGGAACATGCAAGTCTTATTTTATTACATTAGTAAGTATGAACTTTCTTCAAAACCACACCTTTCCTCCAGCATAGACAGGTGTCCACTGGATGGGGTGATCATTTTGATACATGACCATAGGGCGAGCCATCACTGATACATAGTTCAGCACTTTCTCTGTTACTTCCGAGGTGCTGCTCACACGGACATAGTACCCTGCAGTAATCAGTTCAAAGCAATGTATGAGAAAAGAAAAAAATTCTCTATATATATATAATAGACAAGCGTTCATTGGTTGGTGATGAAAATTTGCGTAAAAATTACAAGACTGGGAACACACAAAATTAGTATAACTGTGATACTGTTCTCATCCAAGTGACAATTCTTATTTCTCTACTTACCCACCACTTATTATCACTCAAATTTAGTAGTAAATTTTAATAAACATTGAGATTATAATCATAAAACATGTTGCGTAAACAGAATGTCAACCAAAAAATCATTCTATCTGCACACACATGAATCAAAAGTTATAAATACAAACATGAAAAATAGGATCATACACATGGACAGTAATATACCAGAGTAAAGGGGGGTCCACATGGAGTCGTGGACCGGGCGAGAACACGACCAAGAGGACCGGAGGTCGTGCTCACTACCAAGTGGGAACTAGTGGTCGTTGCACAGTTGGTAGTATAAGACCTTGAAGACAGCAGTCGTAACCACTCCGGCATGTTGGAGTGATCACGCCCAAGTCAGTCATGTGTCATTTTCAAACACCGTGACTCTGAAGGGGAGAAGAAGCATTTGCGAAGTCAAGTGGGAACTGGAGACGGGCGTTATTAAGCAGGTCGATTACGCAGGTCGTGTGACTCACTCAAATAGAGTAGTGTTCTCGCCTGGTCCACGACTCCGTGTGAACCCCCCTTTAAGAGCTGTCCCGCTAACATCATGGAGGCACTTTGGAAAATGGAAGCATAGCTCATACTCATTCTTTGCTAAATACAAAATTTTGTAAATTGATATTAATCTAATGTCCGTGGAGATCAAGAAAGAAAATTACTACCTTCTCATGTCTAAAACTGTTGTAAGAAAAATTATTTTGCAAAGTCAATTCAGTTTCTTCATGTACAGAGTATTTGAACAGGTTCACATGGAATAATAATGAAGATAATAAAAGTAAAAGCTAGTCCGAGGAGACCCTTATTTTTTAACCTTAATAACAGTTTCCGCAACTCTGGTCCCCTTCTTCAGTTTAATGTTTACCTTTATTGGTGCAGGCAATCCTGTTCATCTCTTCTGCATTTGATGAGTCGCGCCCAATAAGGTACGTGAACACCCGGACAGGAGTGTGTGGCAAATTGTACTGCTTGAAGATCTCATGGTAGTCATATGGTGGACCATCTGTGATGAGCATGATGGCTTGATTACATTGGCAGCCCTGCCCTGTACGATTGTACTGTAAAACAGATTCCCGCTTTACTTTGTGCTTCAGCCAGCAACACCCAAAACTCTTTAACTAGTGTCAACAGCCATTTTACAAAAGTGCAAGAAATGTTTTATCAGGAAATTTCTGTAATAATGTAGATCTATATTTCTATTGTTGAGAAGCCTGTAACTCTAGGGAAATAATTGGACAGTGTCTCTCATTCATCTTAAACAGGAAATAAATTCAGATGACTCAGCGTAACTACATGAGATATTTTATGCAGAGCATGGAAAGGGTCACTTAGCACATGCCATGATCAATTCTCTTTCTCTGAACAAAGTTGGTACAGTAAGTTGAGAGATCAGAAGATAAGAGACATCATTGTGTCCACATAGCATTCTTCATATATTCGTCAAAAAATTCTAAAACTTTGGACAAAGAGAAGCATAAAAATCAGTACAAGTTACTGTTGTGTGAAGAACTGACCTTATGTAATATTTCGAAGGCCGTGATGAGTGCCGATGAGAAGTTCGCTATATTTTCTGCCCTTGTTGTGTCCAAGTAATTTCTCATTTCCCTTATGTTTTCCATGTTTGCCTGAAACAATATTTTATGCCTCAATTATCTGAAATTAAAAATCAAGATTTCAAATATATGTGGATAGACAAGTTTATTTAATGAGAAGCTTCATAATCAATAGGTTTCACTTCGCATAAAATCAAAACAGAGTAACTTAATGGGACACAGAGCAATCAGACTTTATAATATATGGTATCACTTTTAAGACAACTGTGCACATATGATGGGAATTTTTCAAGCACAAAAATTCTGTATTTTGAAATACAGAACATTATAAACACATAATGCACAAAACAATTCAGGGAAACAACTATTCACTTTAGAATTTTCATCTTCCTGGCTGCTGTATACAAACGTGAAGACTAAAATATACAGAAGCATAACTTCACCTGTTACCTTCTACGTTGCAAAACTTTTTCTGTCACAAAAACAAAGAACATACATTGAGAATGTTTGAGAAGAGGGTACTGAGAAGAATACATGGAACCAAGAGGGAGGAAGTGACAGGAAGCTGAAGAAAAGTACATAACGAGGAGTTTCATAAAATGTACTCTTCAATAGACATTACTAAGATGACATAATTTAAATGTACGTGATGGGTGCACACATACGATAAACTAAAAATGTATACAAAATTTGAGTCAGAATTTCTGAAGGGGAGGGACTACCTAAAAGACCTAAGCACAGATGAAAGGATACTATTAACTTGGATTTTACAGGTGCTGGATGGGAGTTTGTGGACTGATTTTGTGTGCCTCAGGATAGCAACTGATGGTGAAATCTGGTGAACACGGTAATGAAACTTTGACTAAATGATGGTGAATTTTTTCACCAGCAGAGTGTACTGTCACAAGAAGGACTTTGCTCTATGGAGTTAGATGCAGTTAGTGAAACAGAATTAAGGAGGATTTCCACGATTGATCCACGAACCAAATAATCTGCAGGTGGATAATCGACAGCGAATTACCTGGACAAGCATGTCTTTGAAACATGGCACCAGTGGATCCGTTGTGTCAGAGAACCTGAACACGTTCAGAAAGTCGTTATTGCCGAGCGTATCCAGGATGGCATTGACGACACTCTTTGCTATTTCCCTGCGCTGGCCGGTCATCGATCCCGAGCTGTCGAGTAAGATCACCACATCCTTTGGGCTCGTTGCAGAGTCTATATACCACGAGCTGGTGCGGAAATCGTACAGCTCCTGCCCACTCCTTGCTGACGAATCGTCAGGAGGCCATTTGATCGCTGAAACAGTCAGTTCAAAAGCATAAAGTGACAGACGTCACAGTTTGAGAGGACCTGTTCCTCGTATAGTAACTGGGAGTATACAGTGCATTTCGCCTACGTCACCAGCTTGCGGGTAGAAGGAACATAACCTCATATAGTATGTAAACCAAAGACATTACTGACATAGGAACTGAGAAAGCAAGCTATAAAGTTCTGCAACTGGGAAATAATGTTTTCAGTATGGACAGTATATGCTTCCTTATCTGCTACCCATCCAAACCCTTCTTCCTTCTACTTCTAAGTGATGTGGAATGCACGGTTTTGTCTCAGTAACTTACACAGTGTGACATCCTCATGAAATCCCTGAGGTATGAGTGATGATAACATAGGAAGCATGAGAAGTGTTATATTTGAAGAATATAAATATATTTATTTTATTTATGGCTTACTGAACAGTACTGTTGATAGCTCTGATTATAGGCTACAGCATCGAATGATAAGATGATTCATTTAAGACAAGCCTAAACCAGATATTCGTCTGAGAAACTGATGAAAATCATGAAAACCTAAGTCATGATAGATGCTCTCCTGGAGGAGACGTGAACACGGATCTGCCAGAGACGAAGAAGTTCAGAAGTTCAAAGTGAACACGCGCCTACTTGTGTAACCGTATGTTTGCAACTAACACAGTTGCTTTAAAAGAGAGAGAGAGAGAGAGAGAGAGAGAGAGAAAGAGGGACATCTCTAAACGTCATCAAATTCTTCTTATACTCTTCTATGGATTAAAATTAAAATATAGTCATGAAAACTGCTCTTTGTAATTACATGTAAAAAATTGCATGTTTGGAGACTTCAACGCTGGTAAAGAAGGCAAACCTAAGTTGTCTGTAAGACCACAAAACTTAAAAACAAAATTGATATTCCAGTAAACAGTGTTTTTATCGACTTCCGCTTTTCCCGAACTAGACATTTCGGTTGATGCCAACTTACATTTTCTTGCCAGATGATAACATAAACCAAGTTAAATCGTAAAACATCGCAGGGCGTTCAGATTTTTTCTCCTCTTTAAAGGGTTACCATCGAGATTTTGTGACATGAATTTACAGGACTGACGTCGTGTTTGGTTTTCTGTTTGTCTCCTAAATTACCGCTTCTCGTGACAAATTCACTCCCTAGGTTCGTCTTCTCACTCACCGGGGTACCTCCTGAGGAAGCCCGTAGAGCTGCCGAAGTACTGCCAAGAGAGCGAGGGGTCCATCTCGTAGTTGTTGATGAACAGTGGGTCCAGGTGTTCCGACCACTTGATGGCGTTCAGTACTTCTGGGTCTGCAAGAAACAGTCGAATAACACGTCGTCATTGAACGCGCAAAGCTAACTGATCTAACAACTGAACTAATTAGCCATTTACGTAAACAATTAAGTAACAAACTGAGTAATTAAGAGCAGTAATGGGGTGATTTATTTGCAGGGTAAAACCGGAGAACCCGAAGGAAACCCTCAAAATATAACCCCAATGTTTCAGGAACCATGTCTGTCGGTACTGAAGGAAGGATAATATTAAAATGGATCTTAAGGAAGTAGGGTGAGATGGTGAGGGATTTAAGTGTCTGAGGATAGAGTCCAGTGACGGGATCTTTTTTTAAGAACGAATTTATCCTTCATGTTCGATTAGCTGAGCGTACTCTTAGCTTCTCAAGATGGGCTCTGCTCTATGGAGTTTATGGAAATTTAAACTAAGGTTGTGACAAGGAAGGAGTCCATTTGAAGCTGACAGGAAGATAAAAACCAGGACCAGAAAATGTAAAATTCTTTGTACGACCATCAGGTGTTTGGTTAAGTACTTTCACGATCTTCTACAACCATGCACGTGCTGTGCGTAATGAAATCAACAATGGCGGTATACTAACGCAAACAGTCACCTGAGTCGCGTACTTCCGGTGGCAGCAGGACGGAGCTCAGGCTAATGTTCACGGCCAGCTGGTCGAAGTGCTTGCTCTGCGTTAGGCTCATCTCCTTCGAGCCATCTTGCAGGCGGCCGTCCGGACCATATTCGTTGAGACGCCGAGCGTTGTAGTAGCGGACAGCCGACGCCGAGTCCAGCTTCTGAGACAGTGCAGCCTGCTCTGCCGAGTCCATGATCCTCTGCAACAGACACCATGGCCACCATAACATCCTGACTTCACACTGTGGATTTACTGACAGAACAACTGTGGCACAGTTTACGATGTTGTTGTTGTTGAGGGCTGCGTCGAGGTGAAGACTACCAGGGGCATACCAACATTTGGAAGAAACTTTTTTTTCCCCAGTTTCAATGAAAATGGAGAGAACGTGTTTCTCAGAAACGTTGGTAACCTACATTCAATAAGCACCATACGCTCGGAGGCGACTTCCGGTTTGGTCGTGGAATGGTTTAGGCACGTGCGTTGCAGAACTTCATGAACTTATGAGTTGTAAAGAACAGGCTATTGAAGCGTAATTCGTAATTCCATTGCGTTGTCGCAAAATACTGTATGCGCCTTCTGTAATACTGCCTGCAATACATTTTAGTGGTCTAGCGGTTAGAACGCTGGCCTTGTAATCCTGGGGTCTCGGGTTCGATTCCCGGCGGTGCCCGAATTTATAACTTGTGTTGGGCAAGGCCGTGGTCTAAACAACACGGAGTTTTCCTCCGTGGCATCCCAACAATTACTCCATTCACACACAGAAGAAGGCAATGGCAAACCACTTCTGGATCATCTGCCAAGAACGTATATGAACAGATCCCAGTCCGAGAAAAGGATGGAAGAATCCTGTTCATATGGACCTGTCGTCACACAGAACAACAAATAAAATAAAAATGTTTGAAACATGTGGTAGAAGCACACTCAGTGACCAGTAGATTGGAATCTGTAGACCGCGGGTGCCTTGTGGCCCGTTGCTCGGTGTGGTTGAGGACTTCCGGAAGCTATCCCGTATTGGGCAGTACATCGACCTCGGACTACGCTAAACGATTACCACGCGGAACAAGCGACTGTCGTATCGTCGAGAATTACAATATCATTAAACATAACGCTATTTTTGCAGTCCAGGAACTAGAATGCCTTCCCGTCTTGTATTTGTAAGGACGTCATGACTTGTCTCAGACACAAATTACGGTATTCCGGAAACTTTTGGAAGAGAAAACCGTTGTACGGATTAATTTTGAAATGTACAGTCTGGTGCGAAAGCTAGGACATCTTGAACCGGAAGTGTTGAATACCTCGTGACCTTGTCTTCATCTGTCTGTATCTTCATTATATTGTTGTAACAGTGTGAACCGGGATCATTGTTACAAGTATGACTGTTTCTTTTGATATAATTGTTACAGTTGTGTTGGTTTTTCTGCTTTCAGAGTCTTTCAAAGTGTACACTTTTCCAATCCGTCTTTATTATTCACATCGCGTGTTTAGTTTCAACTTGAGACGTGAAGAAAATTGTCCATTAACAAGCTTTTCAGAAGCTAGAGCCAAACAAACGGTGAGAAATGTTTGCCTTATAATTTTCTTCCTTACATCTGTGTCGCCATAATGTGATGTCGCTTTCCACGAGACTTAGAAATCTAGGACTGAAACGCCGAACTAGGTTTGAGAGACCCAGATGCACGACTATGGTCAAAGCTCTCATCGAGTTGTACAAAGCGTAACCTACAAACGTT